TTTGAAGTATTGAAATAGGATCCAAGTCAAATCTTGGTGCACAAAAGCATAGTATCATAGTCCATGCAGGTCCTCTAGTCTGATAACTTGTTCAGTGCAGAAAATCAGGAGCTAGAACATCCTCATCAGATGGTTATCCAGACTCTGTTCGAAGACTTCCACCATTCCTTCAGGTAACTGGTCCCATTGTCAAAGTTTTCTTAATATTAAGATGTCTCTCCTGACAGTCAGTTGAATGTTATATTCCTATAAATTAAGTTCATTAAATCTCATAGTTCCCTCTGGAGCACCAGAGAACAAAGCAAGACTTTCATCCCCTTGCATGTGACAGTCCATCAGTCTTTTAGAACTGTTATCATGCCATTCCCTCATTCTCTTGTATACATATACATACTCCATTGACCTTCGCTCATAGAACTTCTTTTTCAGATTGATGTCTATCCTTGCTGCAATCTTCTGAACTCATTCTATTGTGTACAATACTCAGAGCTTAATTTCCAGCCAAAGACATGCTCTCCAAGTCCTCTTCCCAATAATTGGTAAGGCTTACCCCAAGGCTTCTTTTTTTGCTTGGGAAAGAGGCACCAGAGGAAGGGGATGTGCTGTCCATTTGGGCAATGCTAATTTGACCTTTGAGTTGAAATGGGAGGTGCAAAGACTCATACAACATTACTCCTTAGTGGTCATGACTTTTAATTGTTGGATGGCCCAGACAACATTGCATTTAAGTTTATTTTCATTTAGCCTCAACTGTAAAAATCTATTTTAGTTCAGGTAATTGGAGTATTACTTTCCAGGCTGTCAGGAAATCTTTATAATGAACCAAGGTCCTTCTTTGAATTGCTTAATTTCTCAAAATTTCCTTCCCCTAGTCAAGGCATGATAATGGACCTGGAAGTTTTTTCTGAGAAATGTGTTAGAGTATTATCTACCAGACAGAATGTTCCAGAAAGAACAAGGATCAACTCATACCTTGGATTGCACTTTAAAAATAGGATTCACACAATTATTTCTATTAGTTTGCATTTATATATAGGCACAGGAAGAAAACAGAGAAGTGTTATATTTGGAAATGTTCCTAATTTCAAAGGCAATAAAAAAACATTCTTCAAAGAACACATAAATGAACCAGCAGATATTCTTATCAAAACCAGACTATTTTGTTTAGTGTAAAGGGAGCTGGCATTTGTTTTCAATGGCACTGAGCCTAGTGCTTTTTTCTTTAAGTAAGAGGCAGTGTTCAACCTTCCTCTGAACTTCAGTTTAGTGAGATCTTCTTGTAGAACACTATCACAAACATTGGGCATGTAACAACTTTGCAAAAGGCCGTTAGGTAGCCTAATTATATGCATACTGATTCAGAGGTGGGTCCCATGTGTTAATTGTGGCATGTGTTTTCAAACTGTGCATATTTTTATTCTTCATTTAAAGTATCTATAAGCCTATGTAAAGGAGGAAAAAATCATCTTAAAGTAGGGTCTCACAATGGTTTAACTCCAGATTGAATCATACTTCATGGAGGAGCCACTGAAATCAACAGAGTTTACTTAAGCCCCATTGATTTCAATACGTCTTCTCCTCTAGAGCCAATAACAAGAAATGTTCAAAATAAAATCATAATTATAAACATTAAGAACTGATATGCAGCATTAACAGAAATTATACACACCAGTAAAGGCACATTATTATAGCTAATACTGTTTTATAGATACAACAACATGAACAAATCCTGTTTAAGAGAATGAACACGAAACCAAGGAAGTCTTTAGGACCAGTTTTTAAAAGTCTGCAGTGAAGTTACTGGGGGGTGGGGGAGCCTTCTGTCATGCATCCACCTATCTAGTTCTCACAGGCTGGCATATGAGTTGGACCTCAGACAATGATCTCAGTTTGTGGTTAGATTGGTATGGGTGAAACTACTCTTTCGAGAAATATGGCCCCAAACTCTTCAAGGTTTTCACTGTAAATCACAGCACTTTAAATTTGGGTCCAGAAATGTACCAGCAACCAACATGCTACGTGATCATATTACCTAGTCCTCACAATTCTGCAGTAGCTGAAGTTTCTGAAATATTTTTAAAGGCTCTCCCATGTAGACTACATTATAACAGTCCACTTTAGATTACGCTAGTGTAGAGATAACTAAGGAAAATGCACTTCTCCCTAGATACTGCCACAGTTGACAAACCAGCCTAAACTGTTGAAAAGCATTCCTGACCACTATTGCCATCTGATATTCCTGGCTAGCACTTAGACCAGGAGAATGCCCAAATGGCTTTGAAATGTGGTGTGCAACCTGATCTGAAGGAAGTCGTAAACTTCTGTCAAAAGTGAATGGAGGTAAAGACTGGGTCCACTCTTCCTAAAATACAGCATTCCAAGGCAGCTACTTCAGAATCTGAATTTTAAGAGGTAGAATCAGAATTCTTCACTGAAATGCCAAGGGCAGCATGCTCCAAGGTAAGCCAGGTAGCTCTGGTTCTGGAGGAAACACTGTTGAACAGGCAGAGCCAGAGAGGGTCAGAAGTAACATGGCCATACAGTCCAAATAGTCAAAAGAGCAGACAAAAAGAATAGTGTCCAGCATTCCCACTATCTTGCTTACAAGCTTTATGAACCACTTGGTTAGAAAGGGAAGAGAGAGATACACCTTGGAATCAAATTCTTAGCTTTAGGTCATTTCCCCAAACAGTTAATATTCCAAATGTCTCTAGTATCTTTTTTTAAATGACTTCTGCAGTTCTGAATCACAAAACAAGTTTAGCTGTCCACTTTTAGCATAATACAGGCAGTTCCCAGGTAATGAACATTTGAATTACATACAAACAAGCTTCCATAAATCCTATTAATTTAAAAATTCAAGTTGAAGACAAACACTTTGTACTACTGAATGTGGAAACTAGTTTGTTATGCTCATGAAAATGGTCTGCAGCAGAAAATCATGATCACCATGGAGAGGAAGTGAAAGGGGAGAGACGGAAGGCCTCTGGAGCATGCCTTATTGCCCCACTCAACTAGAAAGGGAAAGTCCTCTGGCATTTCCTTGGTGCAAAGAGGCGTCCCTGGTGAGTGAAAGGAAGCACAGGGAATAAAAAACATAAGTGTGTAATAAATGAAGAAGAGGAGCCCTGCTGGATCAGACCAAGGTCTGAGAGAGAGAAGCAATCCTGTAATGTATGGTCAACAGTATTAAGAGTTAAGGTTTGGTGGGGGAAGAGATATTCATGGTTGTGGGGGTCCTGCTCCATTAACACCTGCAATGTGGAGAGCCAACTCTATATGGAGGTGTTCCTTAAGTGTTTTTTATGTGTTTTATATATCTGATCTCCCTTACATATACATTCGACTTAAAGACATTTTCAGGGACAGAACTCGTTCATAACTTGGGGACTGCCTGTACTGTAGTTAGAAGCCTCTAGTCTTGATCTGTTTGAAAGGAGGTGTGTGTGTGTGTGGCAGGGGAGATAGGCCTCCAGCAATGGCTCCCTAACCACAGTACTTCTGCCTTCTGTGGGTTATGCATCACATGTTCATCTTCATCCACCACAAAACTACGTTGTTGTTTCAAGATTTCCACAACCTTCTTGCAATGAGAAGTTAGAAATGACAAGTAGAGCTGAGTATCATTTCCTTTCCTCTGTACAATAGTTCATCTCAAATTATAGAGCTGGATTACTTCAACCAGCGATTTCATGTAGGTACAAAAAGTATACGAGAAAAGATGAATTCATATGGCACCATAGACCAATGGCTGTTGGGTGAAACAGAACTCCTTCAACACTTGCTTCTGAGACTGTTCCTTCTGGGTCATTGTGACATTGTGACAACATTATTCACAAAATCCATCCCAATTTATAATGCAAAAGGATACAATGATCTAAAAGATGCTGAGAAGTCCAGGATAAGAAACTCGTAATCACTATTGCCTGCCAGAAGTTATCTACCACTTCAACCAAGCCTATTTCCATCCCTACACAAAGCTTCAAATTGCAATGTATCTAGTAGCATTAACTGAAGCTGAGATGTCACTATATGCTTTAATATCCTGCACAAAAGTTGTAATTTAGACACTGGGAGATAGTTGTCCCTAACCATGGATCTAGATTTGACTTCTTTAGCAAAGGCTTCAACACAGTTTCCTTTAAAACTGTAGGAAATGCATCATCTTTCCAGGAGATATGAACTACCTGCAAAGTTCAAATATCCACCCTACCACTGGATGATTTTATGCATGCCTTCTGCAAAGCAAGACCCACTGACTTAAGAGAGGCATTTAAAGTACATAGAATTGCAATCATAGAAGTTTGACATCTGGAAATAGTTATGTCTTGTGTGGCTTTTAAAAGCAAGTAAGATGTGGAAATATGTATTGTGGACCACGCCCAAAGATTCATTGCACAGCTTCATGGGTACTGTATAGAAGGCTAAAGTTTATTCAAACAGCTGAGTGCGCAAACTAAGTTAGTTCATATATTAATTTGGCCTCTCATATTCTGATTCTTTATCTCTGAATAACCCTTAACCTCAGTGTATATGATCCATTTCCGTAGAAATGGATCATTTATGTTGACATCAGTTGATATGGAAAATCTACCTGTGGTGATTACTCTTTGATGCAAATCATCATTTGACTGGCTTAGGGTGTGGTGCCAGAAGGAACGCTTCGGGTTCCTCGACCACGGCACTCATTTTCTTGCCAATGGACTTCTGGCAGGGAGTCTGGTTGCACCTCACGAGGATGGGGAAAAGGTCCTTTGGAGATGCTCTAGCGAGCTTC